AATATTCTATTAGCAGTATGAAGCTTATTTTTGCTTCTCCTTCAGACTCAAAGAGAAATATTCCAAAGTCACTAATTTAGTAATGATGGGATTTAGCTTTTAATTTATCATTATTATTATTACTATTAATCATTATTATTAGTGTACCTATATGTGTATGGAAAGAGACAGATAGAGGTTGACAGACAGGCAAAGAGAATGGACACAGATACCATGGAATGTGTGGAAGCCAGAGGATAATTTTCAGGAGTCAATTCTCTTTCCTCCCACCATGGGTCCCAGAGACTAAACAGGTTGTCAGGATTGTCCAGGAATCAAATTTGCCTACTGATCCATCTCACCAGGCAAAAGACAGGATTCAGGGTTAAAATCCAGGTCTCCTAACTGTAAACTCAGTGTTGATCGCCTACATCTACTTTCCTGGTTTATGGCAGATGCAGAATGCCGGATATCATGACCTCAAAGGAGAGCCATTGGTGCCAGCAAGTGTCATTTCACCACCTTTGGTGCCAGCAAGTGTCATTTCACCGCAGGGACATAAAAGCCATCATTCGGACCCTGTCTAGCATTTCAACATGGTTGAGAATTTCAAGCCTTGACCTTCTGTCAAAGTGGATTATATAAATTAAGGAGGTGGCTCTCAATCTGTCTAAGGCTGCAACACTTTCACACAGTTCCTCATGTTGTGGGTGACCAACCCCCCCGCCCCCCGACCATGAAGTTATTTTTTGTTGCCGCTTCGTAATTGTAGTTTTGCTGCTACTGTGAATGGTAATGTAAATATTTTTCGGAGATAGACGGTTGCCAGAGGGGTCACGACCCGTGGGTGGAAAACTGATCTTTTAAGGCATTCAGGCGAAAGAAATGAGCCCAAGCTTGGGACTTTGAGCAGCAGCAGAGAAAGAAAGAGGGTGCCGATTGTGTGTCTCCCTGGTGGGTAACTGGGAAGGGGGAGTACAAAAGGAAGGCTCGGTGGCAATCAAAGCCTAGACCACAATTCCATTTCTGTCCCCGAAGGAAACTCACAGCAAGCGGCCCTCCATTTTCCACGCGCAAAACAAGCCATCAGAAACTAAGAAAATGCTGAGAAGCAGGATATGTAAGATGTAGCAAGGGCCAGGCGGTGGTGGTGCACGCCTTTAATCCCAGCACTCGGGAGGCAGGGGCAGGCGGATCTCTGTGAGTTCGAGGCCGGGCTGGACCGACAGCCTCCAAAACAATACAGAGAAACTCTATCTTGTAAAACCCAAAAAAAAAAAAAAAAAAAAAAAAGATGTAGCACGGGTGGAAGGTCTTACCGTCCCTACTTCCCTCCTATCTTAAGATGTGCCAGTCAACTAGAAAATGTCCAAACACTTGGTTCGATGAAACGAAACAATTTAATAATAGCTTTTTAAAGCACGAGCAAAGTTCCCCTCGGCTCACAGAATTCACAGCAGGCCTGGGGTTCGCGTTCCTTCAGCTGGTGGGGATCTTGCAGTCTCAGCCTTAGGGGTCAGATGTAAATTCCAGGGACCGGGTCTGCCTTGCCTGAGAGCTTGGCACGCTCTCAGCTCACACTTGGAAACAAGAAGCACAGAAATAAGCAAAACGGAAAAATAATGAAAAACAAAAAAATCAGTGAAATCCATGCCTTTTGCCTTTTTCTCTTCTTTTAATGGAATCGAAGAATATGATTCCATTTGAATCTGGCTTTACCCACGTAAACATCTTTACCAGGCTCTGATTGAATAGTTCCTCCTACCCCATTCTGGCCATGGGTTTTGAAACCCAAGACCTCCTTTTCCAGGTAATTTATTATCAAGACCAATGACTGTGTAACTAACAGCCAGGTGGAAGTCTTTGGAAAGACATATAATATGCATACACGTCTGTCTGCAGTTTATAGCAAATGGGGACTTTTGTTATTTATTCATCAGTTATTCATATGCTCTGATATGAGAGCCAGCTCAGCAGTGTGAGGCAAGCAGCCAATCAAATTCACATGGCAATGGGCACTGGGAGTCTGCATCCCTCTGTCAGAAGAGCAACTACAGCTCAGGCCCCTGCCTACTTACCAGAGCAGGTAAAGTCTCTCTCAGCGCATGCCCAGCCCCTTGGCCTATAGGAGATCACCCGTGTTCCTCAATAGCAAGACGGTAATGAGGAAACTCAGCACACTCAAGAGTTCTAGCCTGTGTGTTCTAGAAAGTAAACTGGCACCCTGAACTGGTTCACTTGCTCCGTGCAATCTCATCATGGGTAGACCTTTTACAATACTATGAATCGGCTCAAGGTTCAGGAGGTGGCCGGCGATGGTTCTGCTTCTACCACGCCATGAATATTGTGGGAGGCAATACAGGCACACCGGGCCAGATGGGTTTTCATGGGACCTTCACAGGTCCAGCATTCTGGATGGGTGAAGCAAGGGGTCCACTGCGGGGACTTGAAGTTGGACCATGCTGACAAATCTGACCATCCAACAGTACCATCCCCCAAGAAGTAATCATACACCTGATCAGTTTGTATAATAACCAGGAAGAAAAAAAACCAGCACGACGGAGGTAACTACCGCAGGGCCCTCTCGGCAGGTTTCACTCACTATAAAAATGTGCTTTGTCCTCTCTTTTTGTTTTTATGTTGTGTGCACATTGTGTGCCTGTACACGTGTACGTGTACACATATGAGTGCAGGTGTTCATGAACATGTGTGCTTGTGTCTGCGGAGGATGCAGGACAACTCCTGGTGTCGCCTTCGAGAATAGCATCCCTTTGAAATGGGTTCTTTCATTGGCCTGGAACTCACTGAGTAAGCTAGGCAAGCTTGTCAGAGACACCCCCAGGGATGTCCCTGTCTCTGCCTCACCTGGCACCACTGTGATCACACACACACACACACACACACACACACACACCCGTACGACATACCCAGGTTTTTGCACTGATTCTGGTAATCCACCTCAGAGCCTCGTGTTTGTAAGACTAGCCCACTACTTGGTACTAAACCATCCCAGAATCCCATCCTATCCTTCTTAGACTTGTCATCAGAGAATGTCCGAATAAGGATTATATTTCCTAGGTCTCAAGAAGAATTAAAATCTTACATTTTGAAAAATCTAACTTTCGAAGAAAATGTTTAAAAAGCCCCACAAAGAGGGAAAGCGGAGCATCTGTGGGAGATATCAGGTCAGCGTCGGGCATGCATCTCCAATAAGCACCGCCACTCACAGACACAAGCCAAGAGGGGTTGTCACATCCCCAGTTCCACAGCTCATGGCCTGCACAAGGATCAGAGGGCCATAAGGAATGAGGAAGAGATTGCTCTCCCTCTAGACATGTTGATAATGGCAGCGTACTGAGTGGATGGCATCTACTGGTTCTTAGGATGACATTGGGTGGGCTTTGACTACAATTAAAGTTAGTACTGCCTATGGAAAACTGAGGGACGCTTTATTTCAAAAGAATAAGGTAAAAACCAGGCATGGAAGACGATGCCTCTAACCCAGCACTGGGGAGGGTGAGAGCAGAAGGAGAGAAAGCATGGGGAGCCAGGATTGTGCACTGAGACCTTGCTTAAATATGTCACACGCACACACGCACACACACACGTGCACGCACATGCACGCACATACATGTACATACATGTACACACACTAATGCACATGCATACACATATACACACGCGCACATGCACATGCACACATACACATGCATGCACATTCACATACACACACATGCATGCATGTATACACACTCATGCACATGCATACTCATACACACATGCACACGCATGTACGTGCATACACATACACACACGCACACACGCACACATACACATGCCCACACACTCACATGCACACAGGATATGGTTGTTGAAAATGTAATTAAACCTCAATTCCCTCATCCCTAAGCTGGAAATAGGGATTTATTTACCCCATATTGTAGGGGTGAGCCCATTGGGCTTGGACAGTATTGTGGGCTCACCCCTACATCATACAGACAGAGCTTTTTCAATTTAATCCAAATTTAGGAAGTAGCTACTTGAAATGCAGAGAAAGACTAGTAGAATGTTGTGTAAATGCCGTTGTAACGTTGGTAGAAGGAAGGAGATGGTAATACTGGGACCCTACCCCATGAGAACAGAGTTCTAGTCTAAACTAGGAGAGGCCCTAATTAGAGTTATATCATTAAGTACCTGCTCTCTGTCTTTGCAGGACCACAAAACGCTCCTTGTGTAGGGCTTTCTTGTCAGCCCATCAGGCTTCCTTGGAGGTAGAAGAGAAACAGAAAAGGCATTATTCTTCTTCGTGTGTAAGCTGAGTCTAGTCCAGCTCCAAAGTAAGATGGACTCCTCCCTTCACCAAGCTGTCTCCAACTAGTTTCAGTCTGAACATTGTAATGCAGATGGGACCTCCCTCCGGTGGGACCCACCAGGCTCCAAGGTCACTGAACTCCAGTCTCTGGAAATGCAGAGTCCCAGCAAAAACCCACTGACTGTCTGGTACTAGCCGCACACGGGGCCATGACCACCTCCAGCACAGCAAGGTTGTGTAGAACGTGGTTTGACCATGACCTTTACGGAAGTCAGAAAGATAACCAAGGAAACTTCCAAGTGGAATGTTCCAGAAGTCACTCCACCTGAGCAGCTAGGAGACAAGGTTGTAGAGAAGGTACTCTTTTCTGTTCACCAAGTAAGGAAACGGAGAAGGGAAAGCCAGGGCAAACCAACGTCACAGGCAAAGGAGGACTAGGATCATAGGAGGCTGCTTGGTGTCGCGCTCAAAAACGTAAGTGTTCTAGAGGCAGGAACTGTTGGAAGGCAGCACCTGGGAAATGAGCAGGAGCCAAGTCATGAAGGGGTGCTCTGGGTGCCAAAGGAAGAGTCCTGGCTTCTACCAGCCACTATGGTGAACCACTGAGAGCTTTGAAATACAGGCACGACACGGTCAGAGTCACCTTCCAAGCATTCCCTCTGGGGCACCGGGAAGCAGATGGGCTGAGAAGAGACCGAAGGCTAGGAGGTGAGCTGTAAAGAGTTTTATTGCTGTTTTTATGTGCAGCTTCTATTCTAAAAGGAACACCCGAAGAGTATGCCAGGAGAGGCCCCCCATAATGAGGCATGCAGGCTAATATGATGGCTATTTGTCACTGGATACATAGACAGACAGAGTCGGTGAATCAGTCACGGTAGTAGGAAGACACAAGGGAAACCTCGGGACTGTATGACTCTGGGCAGCGCAGTGGCCCTCACAGAACCGCAGTGTCCTCACGCACGCAACAGGGCGGCAGTCGCCTGGCCAGTGCGCTTGTGAGTCAGAGGCACACAAGGTCCCTGGCAGAGCTTGAGGCCTAGAGCGAGCCCTCCACGGGGGTAGCCACCATTGTTGGAGTGGAATAGCTTTCTTCTGCCAAGAATGCTCTCAGCAATCAGAAAGGATCCATTCACCAGGACAGAGGCTTCCTCCGCTGAGTACCTGTAACCAAAGCAAACAAGAGCAATGGGGACCGAGCTGGAGTTGCTACCTACAGGGGAGGTTCAGGTGTCCCTTTGATGGAAAGCAAAACCGAGCTCAAGTCAAACAAGCCTGTACACACCGATCAGGGCTGCGTGTTCTCAGCAGCCCTGGGCACATTCCCACAGAGCCTGGTTTGACAAGCTGTGCTGGCCTGATGCCCAACTCCAGATCAGAACCTAGGAGGCCTGACGTCTCTTTGATAATCTCTCTCTCTCTCTCTCTCTCTCTCTCTCTCTCTCTCTCTCTCTCTCTCTCTCTCTCTCTCTCTCTCTCATTCTCTCTCTCTTTCTCAGCAAGGGGTGTTATGGTACAAAAGAATGGAGACATGATCCATATATATCTTCAAACACATACACAACTCACATTTTCATTTTCCTGTCTTACCCAGAAGGTAAATGATTCCTAGGTGGCACCGGCATCCCCGTGGCCCTGAGTTCTAGTCACGGGTTCCAGAATCCTTGCTCACCAGCCAGGGACACATCTATCTCCTCAGCTAGCAGCCTCCGTGGCAGATTGACTGACACTCCCAGGTCAGACGAGGATAGAGAGGCCCCACCCCAGAGCACTTGTGGGGAAGTCAAAGGGCCCCACAGATGAGCACCCTGTTTCATCCAAGATGGCCACTCAAGCTGGCCACTCTCCCTCACCCATCTCCTGACTCTCATCCTCTCCACCGCAAACATCCCATAAGTGGTCTCTGCCCCTATTTGGGTACCATCTCCTCCCTGCTGGCACCCGCTGCATGCTTGTTGCTCAGAGGACCCCATTCCCACAATGCCTCTCACCTGAGAGTCACCTTTGAGCTCTAAAAGGACTTTTATGTCTCTCCCGCCCCCCTCACTCCCACCCCCAGGGCACTCGTGACCTCTGCAAACACAGTGACTTCGCATACAACCTGTCCACGGCTTGGTATTTTCAAATTCGACTAGCCTCAACTCCTAGAAAGCTGCCTTCTCTCCTGGATCTCCGTGGTCCAACTTGATACCTCTCCTTCTGCCCACTCCTGGGTTCTGGTTTTCTGGACTTTTCTTCCTAGGGCCTCTCCCCTTTCCATAATCCTTTTCCTTAGAATGGCCATGGATATGATTAATCCCCTAAGAATCTAGTCTTAAGTTGTAGTGAGACCCCCACACACACTATTCATATCAGAAATCCAAGGTGCTCTTGACTCTTCCTTCTGTAATAACCCCACCCCGACAGCCTGTCCACCTCTTAGCTGGACTCTGGCCCTCACTATGCTGACACTCTTCTCGCTCATCCCTCCTCCCTAGTCATCCTCCTTCTGACTGCTGTCTTTCTAAAGCATGGCAGATACGGAGCTTCCAGATCAAAACCCCACGGGTCCTCATGCCGAATCATCCTTGGCACAGCCTCCCATGCCTCTTCACCATCTCACAAGAGCATGTCTGAAGGGGGAAGTCCTGTGTATATGTCAATAAAGCACTGTTGGCCAATAGGGAAGCAAGATAGGTGGGACCAGGAGTCCAGGAGGACTCTGGGTAGGAGAAACACAGGGAGTCACAATGTAGCCTGCCAGAGAAAATGTCCAGAACTTTTCTCCAGTAAGAGAAATACTTAGAATAATAATTATGGAATAAATACTTAAGTCAGAGCTAGCCAGTAAGAAACAAGCAATGCCAACAGCTTCATAATTAATACAGCGTCTTGTGTGTTATTTGGGGACTACAACACAGCAGAGCCCAGGCGACTGGTGGGGAGAAACCAAAGCTGCTGGCCAGGAAAAGGCTTCTCTCTACACATGCCTCTCCCGAAAGATGGTAATTTCCTTAGTGGCTGCACCTACGTCTTAGTAGCTGAGTGCCCACCGGTGTGACCAAGAGTCAATGTTCAGTAGACACTCAGCGAAATGGACGAAACCTAATATGAACTTCTATCAAGCTTGGCGAGGACCAAGCTTACACAGCCTTGCTCTCTAGCTTCAAAATGCTCTTCTCAGAGCATCTCAGGGAGAAGAGCTTCTTGAGAGCAGCTGTGTAAAATACACCCGAGCATGCTGGAACGCTTAATGGGATGGGGGGAGGCACTGCCTTCATTCTCCATTCCACTGGGCCGCTCCCTAGAGGTGTGTTTCCCCCACATCAAGCAAGAAGTCTTCCTGCTGCAGACGACGTATAGCGAAGATGCCTCATCGATATTTTTTACACTGACCATTCTTGTTGTATCTGATATCCAGTCAGAAAGGTAATTAAGTTAGCCTAGTTAACACAGAAGTAACTCAATACAAATATTCCAGAAGTGACCGTGGTGTTGGACCATGTCAGCAGACTGCGGCCAGGCAGGCAGAAGACAGGGAGCTGCTGGCCCTTCCCGGTGTGGAGGAAAGGGAAAGGGCAAGACTGGATCAACCGTGGCAGTCAGAAGGTCCGCGGCGGCTGGTTTACCGTGGAATTTAAGCTTCAGGGCTCCCTAGGCGCATAGGTTCCTTCTCAGATCCCGTTACTAATTGTATACACATCGTTTTATCTTCTTTCTCACCTTAGTCCAAGCTCTGAACCTGCATCTACCAAGACATGTGGAGGAAATATGTCATCACCAGCAGGAATAGTGACCGAGGCGAGGAGAAAAGCCCTGGCTTTTCCTTCCTAACACACCTTCCAGTGTCCTGCCAGTACATCCCCAAGCCAAACCTAAACAGAAAGCAACCGGTATGAGCACATGATCGTTCTGATCCCCATGCAAGATGTCCCCCCACAGGCTCATGTGTTCAAACACTTAGTCCCCCAGCGGGTGGTGCTGTGTAGAGAGGCTGCGGGACCTTGGGGAGGTGGGACTATCTGGGGGAAATAGGCTGCTATTTAACTAATGGTTACAGTTCCCACAGGCTTCCTCCTAAGCCCGTTACCCGCTTTCTAGTCTATGAGATGGAGCAAGCAACGCTGCAAGCCCTCACTGTCTCCACGGAGCCCCGGATGCTGTGACTTGGGTGATGGGCGGGATCTGCTTAACCCTTAAGCTAAAATACATCCTCCCTCCCTTAAATTTGCTTCTAGCAGATCCTCTGTCACCGCACCAAGAAACGTAACTGACACACACAGAGGAACAGACTTTCCCCGCGAGGTCAGCGAGGGAGGGACAGAAGCAAAGGAGAAACAAACAGAGCCGAAAGCTAGTGTCTCAGCCTCCCTGGTCCTTCCTCTAGTCCCAGTGCAAGGGCTGAAGGCAAGGCCCCAGAGCTGTAAGGTGTTACAGGGACAGCCTGGCTAGCTCCACCTGCCAAGGTGTACCTCACAGAACAGCATCGCCCCGCGTATGCACACCATACGTAACACATGTGTATACACGTGCCAACGCTGAATACTCCAAAACTCATCATTGTCCCAAAGGCGGTCAGACATCGGGAGACCAATCCACAGTAAAGAGATTTAACAAAATCTTATTAAGCACATGCCCGGAAGCCAGCATAGTAATAATAAAAAAATTAATGAAAACGAAAAGGCTGATTAAAATTTTTTTAAAAAATGGAGTGACAAACATAAATAAAAGTAATACCCCTACAGCATGGGGTGGCATGTTTGTGCTGACCCAATCCATTCAGTCACTGTTTACTGAGTAAACATTCGAACATGCTGGTTCCCTGGCAACCACCCCTAACTGTGTAAGCACGCCCAAATAGCACACAGCCTCTGCTTACTCGGGAAGTAGACGGTAGTGAATTTACAGTTACACCCTGGGTAGTTTCAGAAGGAAAAAAGAACTATGAGCCTTGCTGAGCACCACAGCCAGGCACCTTCATGGATACCCAAGGTTTAACGACATCCCACTCCGGCTCAAGGACTGGACTCTACCATGAACACAGACGTGGCGGCCTTCTGGTCAGGATGTAGTCTCTCTGACTAGGATTCTCCACGCTGACCATTGCCTCATTGTAAATCTGTGAGAGTTTCAGGCTCCATCCACGCCCATTGGTACATAGTGTTTGTACATACTGTTAGGAGTCCTCTGGGCTCTAGGCTCCTGGTCTTTCTAAACCCACTGGGACATGATGTTTGCACACGCTGTTAGGAGTCCTCTGGGCTCTAGGTTCCTGGTCTTTTTTCTTTTTTTTTTTCTATTTTTATTTAAATTAGAAACAAGCTTGTTTTACATGTGAATCCCAGGTCCCTCTCCCTCCTGTTCTCCCCTGCCCCCCAATCCTCTATCCCATTCCCTTTCTGCTCCCCAGGGAAGGTGAGGCCTTCTATAGGGGATCTTCAAAGTCTATCATATCCTTTCGAGCAGGGATTAGGCCCTCTCCTGTGTGTCTAGGCTGAGAGAGTATCCCTCTATGTGGGATGGGTTTCCAAAGTTCATTCCTATGCTAGGGATAAATATACTGATCTACTACCCGAGACCCCATAGGTTGCTGAGGCCTCCTCACTGACACCCACATTCAGGGGGTCTGAATCACTCCTGCACTGGTTTCCCAGCTATCAGTGTGGGGTCCATGAGCTCACCCTTGTTCAGGTCAGCTGTTTCTGTGGGTTTCACCAGCCTGGTCTTGACCCCTTTGCTCATCACTCCTCCCTCTCTGCTGCTGGATTCCAGAGTTCGGCTCAGTGTTTAGCTGTGGGTGTCTGCCTCTGCTTCCATCAGCTACAGGATAAAGGCTCTAGGATGGCATAATGTAGTCATCAATCTCATTATCTGAGAAGGGCATTTAAGGTAGCCTCTCCACTATTGCTTCGATTGTTAGTTGGTGTCATCCTTGTAGATCTCTGGACATTTCCCTAGTGCCAAATTTCTCTTCAAACCTATAATGACTCCCTCCATTATGGTATCTCTTTTCTTGTTCTCCTCTATTCTTCTGCTGACTCAACCTCCCTGTCCCCTCATGTCCTCCTCTCCCCTCCTCTTCTCCCCTTCTCTTTCTCCCAGGTCCCTCTCCCTCCCCCCATACTCGCAATTTGCTCAGGAGATCTTGTCCCTTTCTCCTTCTCTGGCGGACCATGCATCTCTCTCTTAGAGTCCTCCTTGTTTCCTAGCTTGTCTGGTGCTGTGGATTGTAGGCTGGTAATACTTTCCTAAAACCCATATATGAGTGAATACATACCATGTTTGTCATTTTGTGACTGGGTTACCTCACTCAGGATGGTTTCTTCTAGTTCCATCCATTCACCTGCGAATTTGAAGATTCCATTTTTTTTCCACTGAGTAGTACTCCATTGTGTAAATGTACCACATTTTTCTCTATTCAATCTTCAGTTGAGGGGCATCTAGGTTGCTTCCAGGTCCTGACTATTACAAATAATGCTGCTATGAACAGAGTGAAACAGATGTCCTTGCATGAATGTGCATCTTTTGGGTATATGCCTAAGAGTGGAATTGCTGGGTCTTGAGGTAGACTGATTCCCGTTTTCCTGAGGAATCTCCATATTGAATTCCAAAGTGGCTGTACAAGTTGACACTCCCACCAGCAGTGGAGGAGTGTTCCCCTTTCTCCACGTCCTCTCCAGCATAAACTGTCATTGGTGTTTATGATTTTAGCCTTTCCAACAGGAGTGAGA